GTACATCGGTGTTACAGAATAACATCGGCACAACCTACTGGTTGGGGCTACGGTGGTAGCGTTGATGGCCTTGGAGTAACCGCCAGCAAACCCATCGCGTTACATGGAGTACAGCATTTTGGCACTACAGGTGGTAATTATTCAGTGTCACTAGAAGTAAAAGATGCACAAAGTGGTCTCTCTCTGGCAAAACAAACAGGAACACACTCTTCCGAGAAAAATGACATACACAGCTATTACGGATTTGATGTCATGTTTAATCACCCGGTTCACCTTGAGCAAAATAAACGATATGAGGTTGTATCCTTTATCAGGGGCCCTAGATCGTGGGCTGTGAAAGAGGGAAAAAGTCATGTTGAGGTTCAAGGAGTCAAGTTTTCTTTCAGTTCCGCAGGTGCTTCTACTAATGGAACTGACGTGATTTGCGGCCAGTTTCCTGCATTTCTTTTCAGCTTACGGTAGAGTTAAATTCTTCAATGAACTTGCTGATTTCCTGCGGAGGCACTGGGAAGTTGAGGAATTTCCTTTGCCATTGCCTGGATAAGTCCCAGGCTCCTTTTGTCAACAAAACACCCTGCAATAAGCCAGGGGGTAATGTTAGCAACTCAGGGAACAACTTAAGTAACAAAAATTGGACCTCGGATCGCGCAAGTGTGTACTTAAGATTTTGTAGTTTTACGTTTAGTCATCTCTTAGTTTTCCTACCACACCAGAGTGTTGTTAAGTTGGGGGATGTTTAGCCATACATAACAATTTTAACTGCCAATTTTAATGCCTCATGTTTACAGGCGTATAAACCTGAATACCAAAGTAATCTGTTTGTTCACTATACAAATATGGAAGAATGTCATTTGAAATATCATGATGATGTTCATACAGACCCTGGGAGGGGAGGCGGGTACTTCCTTATAAGAGGCTAATGGGGATGTGCCGTTGGATGGGGTCGCATTTTCACGACTGGATTGACTATAATGGGGGTTGCATTTTCAATAGAGTTACTAGAGTGGGGTCGCACATTTTCGGATTTTTTAGGGTTAGCCAGTTCTTCATATTTACGGTAAGCAAACGTACGTACCAAAATGTTTCTTCTGTAGATGAAAAGTAAAGTGTTCTTCATTCAATCTAGAAAATGGTTCAATTCATAGAAATAGAAAGTGACTAAGCTGGGATCGCAAAAATTACATATTTGCCCCAAAATGACTAAGATGAGGTCTATAATTTGCCACAGAATGGACTATCCTATAATGGGGTGGGGGCTCTGAGAGGCCAGCGGCACATACCCAGCAAAAATTAACCCAAGCACCCCACTCCTGCAGAAAGGTGGTGAATAAGAAAAGAATGAATACAAGAACCTTTTAGACTTCTAAAAATGGGAACTCTTGGTACATTCGCCATTTGCACATCTCCCCTAATACATCTTGTTTGCCCCCTAAAGTTTTGCATAACCTTTGTTTTCAATTTCTTTTGGGTATTACAGTCGTCCCAAGAGAAATGAAAGAAATTGCGTATGGAAGATGTTGGGGAGCGAACAAGGTGTATTGTGGGAGAAAATGCAAATGGAAATAAACGTTTTATTCCATTTCAATTTCGGTTTTGTGTTTAGTGACCAGCATAATAAAATAGCGTGAAGATAGGTTTTAGACAATAAAGTCGTAGTTGAACTTAACTAGGTAACTGTTGAAATAAAATTCCGAAACCGATTTGAATCCTTTTCATTTGCATGCAACGTTGATAATTCTTCAGACTTATAGTTTGCGGAGATATCCTCACATCCCCACTTTCTCTTCGGGAACATCTAGAAGCGTCGAATGTGTTCTCCATTTTGCCGTAGGCTCAGAAATTTGGGGATTAAGATTCGAAAGAGCATGCTGGAACGTTAATTGAGATTCAAGCCGAGAACGCCCTGACGTCGGAAGTAGGAATTTCTCATGCTTGAGCGATCAAAAGAAGTAAATTTGTTCAGAACTGTGGATCGCCACGCAACGGTTGACCCCTGATTTAGGGTTTAAAATAGCGTTCTTCAGGGGCACCCAACGACAATTTTCGGAAGAATATCTGTTCGGAAGACGATTTTAGATCTAGAATTTTCGAAACATTTGTTGTAAAATTTCTTGCTTGCCTTCCTCTCCTAGGATTTTCGAACATCTAAAAAATGGTATAATTGCCTATTTTTAACGGATTTTTACCTTAAAAAGGTCACCTAGAATTTTCGGAAGCCTTTTTTCTGGCTGAAATTTTCGAAAAGGTAAGTTTTGATCCCTATAATTTTCGGAACACTAGACTTTCAGCTAGGAAATCCGAACTGATGAAAAGTTTTTAGGGGATAAAACCATGCCTATACAGTCGACTCCCTCTTAACGGACACCTAGAGTTGGTCCTTGCCTTTCTTTACTCCCTTTATTTTACTCTCTCAGGAGCCTCTATAAGATGGACACTTAGTGCCGGTCCCAAAGGTGTCCGTCTTAGAGAGAGTGGACTGTATCTACCGTTTAAATACTAAAATACGTTTAACAATGGTATGTTTAAGTGGTTTTGAAGTATATTCTCGTTGGGTGCCCCTGGTTCTTGGAGAGGAAATTGTAAAACAATACCGTTTCTTCCCTGAGATGACAACTAACATTTGTTGACGTCACCACTGGTTTCCCCCCGATCGCGAAATGACGTCTGGGAAACGAGTGCATTAATTCCAAACTGATGACGTGTCACTACCCAAAACTAGGTAGTGCTTCTGATTGGTTGAAGCAAATTTTCATCGTGGCAAAATTAAAACTTGACGTATTATGGCTGTGCAGTACCTCTGCCGTGTGTTGCGAAAGCTCCTTTCAACTTTCAACCCGCGGTAATGCCGAGAAAACGCGTTGCTTCGATTGGCTGAGAAAATGGAGCGAGAATATTAGCCAATAACAGGAGAAGCAGTGTAAAATAAAGTGATCGTGAGGTTATTGTACTTCTGATGAAAACTACCCTGTGACTGGCCAGGGTAATAACTGACTTTTCTCACGACGCACGATTTATTAACTATATTCGAAAACCAGACGGGGAGTGTAAACCGCGCTTCGTTCAGATCATGACCTTGAAGAGAATGTATACTGTAAACACTGTTTTCTTGCTCAATATTCAGTATCCCTTTGTCTTGTGAAGACAAAGTAACAAAGTAGTTGGAGACAAAGTAGCAGCAAGAAGCACACAGCACACAAACTGGTCTTTTGAGGACCAATCCACAGCTTAGTTGGTATCTTAAAGCGAGACGCTGAAGTAGACTCTAGTCAGGAGTTAGAGGCGCTGATGCACGATCGAAGAGTTTGGAATCACTTGTCAAGGCTCGGCTGTGGCCGACTTAGTAGTAGTAGTAGTGATGTCTTTGAATGGGTTGTTGTTAAAGAAACTATAAAAAGACACTTGTTTTTACTCACGGCATATAAGAATAATTTGTTTAATGAAAATCACTTGAGTATGCCAATGAACCATTTGCGCTAAAATCAGCGTCAGTCTTGTAGAATTCTTTTACCATCAATGAATTTAATTTTCTTTCTCAATATTCTGGTAGATTTAGCCGCTAATAAATTGAGTTCTCATGGCCTTTTTATTTGTTACAAAGCTATTAATTTTCACCAGAGATAAAATATTTCTGTTGGAACCATTTTATTGAGCGTGTTCTTTCTTATGACCCTCTCTGTTAGATGAAAGGTCGAGAAATAAAATGACTCGTGGTCCTGACTGACAGCACAGATCTCTTGTTGGATTCAGTTGCCTAGTAGCCTATGCACCTGAGCCGGGTTGTTCGAAGCTGGGTTAAGATAACCCAGGGTTACTGCGAAATTTGAACTCAGATATGGGAGCTTAAAAGGCAAATTCAGTTTTTAAAATCCTCTTTGCCAACAATTTGATATTTGGATACTCCAAATAGAATACTGAGGAAATTATCCCAGAAAGTGCTTTTGATAAAAAGAAAAAAACGCGGGTTAAAATTTAACCCCGGGTTTGCGCTAACCGGCGTTCGA